CTAAGAAGAGGAAATCTGCCTGCCCTCCCACCCTCACTTTGGAAGGCCAACCACAGTGGGACAGAGCTCCAAGATCTGGAGCGGTCACAACGGGGGGCAGAAAGAGGCCACTCCTAGTCCCCCCCTCAGAATCCCTGGTGCCATAGGATGGGGGTGGTCCCACTCCTTTGGCCCTCAGAGGAGACTGTGCCTGACACCACTCAAGGACCTCTAATGGGTCCTTCTAGAACAAGGCCTCGAGTATTTTTTCATGGGCAGGGTGTCCCAAAGCTGCCTTTGTTTTGTCTGTAGTGGGCGATGATGTTCACAGATGTCAGGCCTCTCTGGCCCAGATTGCCAGACAGAGCTAATCTCTTCCTTTTGGTAGCCTTTTACATTTTTGTTTTTAAACCTAAAAGACTTTGCAGGTCCTACCAAAGACCAAAACCATCAAGCTCAGAGTTTGGTGGTGGAGTTAGTGAAGAGGAGACGTGGAGGGGAATGAATTCTCCACTGGATGCCAAGGGGAAAAGGATGGGAAGAGAATTTTCCTCCCAGTTTTTCCACTGTCTGATCCTAAATTCAGTTTTTCGTGTTCGGTTTGCCCCCGGCTGTATAACTGGTACAGTAATTGTAATGAAACTTCAAGACATGGGATGTGTCAATGGTTGGTTTTTCAGCCCCCATCTCAGTGTGGACTAGGAGCTATGGATGATGCAGAGAACTGTTACAGGATTCTGGCAGGTGCCCCACTGGGGTGGGTTCTTCCTGCCTCCCCATTGGTGGTCCATGTTTGAATTCCAGCACCCTCTGGTGTCTCCCGCCTGGGCAGTGCACCTACAGCCTTCAGCACCCCCCACACCCCTTCTCCCAACCTCCCTTTGCAACACTTCTTTCATCCAGTTCTTGACCTTTTACAGACACCCTGACCCTGGCAAATGCCTCTGGAGAGGTGCTGCCCAGGCGGGATCCTGCAGGGGGCGCTCTCCCCGGAAGCCATGAATCATTCTACCTGCTTCTATTGTGATCTGTGAGAAACCAAACAGGTTATTCTTGCCCTTGTCTCCAAACATGAACTTCTAAACCAACAGCAAATCATTCTGGATAAATGCTAGTCAATTTGATTCCTGAGGAAGAAAACCCCAGGGTTTGTCTGCAGAAAATCAAAGGCCACGTTGTTCTGATCCTCGTGTGGGTGTTACAGGGGTTGGCATAAGCCCCAGGAAGCAGAATCAGGGCGTTCTGCTTACCAAAGCCTTTACCTTTGGATAATCCTGAATTTGCCCTGTGAATGCCATTGGGATTTGATTTTGACTTGAGTTTGCAACATGGCATCGATGTCCTTGCAAGACCTTTCTCCACCCCAGAAAAGGTCAGTGGGATTCTAGGTGGGGCGAATTTCTAGGAACAGCCCAATTCACACTCTGGTCTCTACAATATACCTTCTAGAAAAGGCAGACCCTGAAACTCTCTTTCTGGGAGTCTGGAAATCAGCTCCCTTGGCAGAGAGCAAGGATCAGAGGTTGGAAAAGGTTTGTAGACACATCCTACCAAGACCAACTGTTGCTTCCACCAGGGACACAGTGAGGACTCAGCACCATCGCGTCTCAGAGCCGTTGGGCCACAGGAACCATTAGCCCAGCCACCTACTCTGCACATGAGAAAACTGAGGCCCAGATATAAGCAGAAACTTGTCCAAAGGTGGCCCATGAGCAAGCAGGCACCCACCCAAGGCTCCCAGCTCCAAGACCAGACCCCTAACAGAGCTCCTTCCAGCTGTGTATGTTGTGACTCACAAGCGAATCACTCTTGGCCCCCACTCCTGTTTATCAACACACAGATGAGGATAAACAGAGCCCACAAGTAGCTCTCACACTGCCCAAAATACCATCATTGACTCACTGATGGAAGTAAACAGAGTCCTGGTTTGGCTTGCAAATAGCTCAGATGGATTCATGGTGTTAGCTACTTTGGGCAGCCCCTTCCTCGAAGCTGAGCCCTGCTGCACCTCTCAGGGAAGCGTGGGTGGGGGCGCAGGGGGCTCAGAGGGCAGGGAAGATCATGAACCAAGCAATGGTGCTGGGTAAGGATGGTAAATAAGTTCAGGACAGTGAACAGCTCCGAGCAGCAGGAGCAGTGTGGCCAAAAGAACTGGCTGGAATGATAGGAATGGTCTCCCTGTGTGTTGTCCAGAGTGGCAGCCACTAGACCTGTGGGGCCATGGAGCACTTGAAATGTGGCCAGTGCAACCAAAGAACTGAATTTTTTACTTTACTTATTTTAAATTAATTGACATTTAAAGAGCCCCACGTGGCTAGTCGCTACCGACTGGACAATGCAGGTCTGGAGCGTTGGGTACAGGGAGGGCTGCAGTAAGGCAAGACAACAGTCCCAGCCTTACCCTGCTCCTCTGAATGTGGCTTCTCTCCAATGGACACAGACACAAGGAGGTCACTGTGGCTGTCTAAGGCCAGGATATGAGTGGCTTGCCAGGATGGGGCACAGAGCCTTCACCCGCCCCTCCTCGGCTCAGCTGTGCAGGAAGCACACAGGCATCTGCCTCCAGAGCCCTGCTGGCCATGCCCCAGGTCACAGCAGGATGTCCAGCTGATGTCTCGGCACTGCCTTTCCCACCATGCGACCTCATCCTGCTGGGAGGCTTCCTGCTCCCCTACTGTGCCTGGACACCTGGGCTTACGTCGCTAAAGGCAGATGGAGCCCTGAAGAGCACCCTGTCCTCTAGTGCCTGCAAGTCCGACATGGGGACCAAAACTCTTTGCCTCCTACCAGCCTGATGAGCCATGCATGTCCCTCCAGGAAGGGGTCCTTGATGGCACCCCGCAGAACACAGTTTACATACAGCCTGACTAATCTACTGCATGTGCCCTGCTGGGGAAGCCCACACAGTGGAAACTCACAGCTCCATAGAGAGGTGGGGTCCACGTCTGAGTGGACTTGTGACTCACTCATGGCCAAGAGTAGTAGTGGTGACATTGGTGACTTCCAAGGTAGGGCCAGAAAAGCCATGCAACTTCTATTATTACATGCTGCAGGGGCCCTTGACTTTGAGGCCCTGAGTTGTCACTTACGGAGCCCGACTACCCCGAGGCCATCTTGTGAGGAAGCCCAGGCCTCATGGAGAGGCCGTGTGTAGACGTTCTAGTAGGCAGCCCCAGCCATGGTCCCAGCCAACAGCCGGCATCAAGGCCACACAGGTGGGAAGACCCTCAGATAATTCCAGCTCCCGGCCATGCATCTCACCTGCACTTGGATTCTTCTTCCCAGCCGGGTCCTCAAATATCACAAAGCAGATGCAAATCATTCCCGCTATGCCCCGTCTGAATTCCTGAAACCCAAGATCTGTGAGCAAGACAGAATGGTTCCCATATGCTGCTAAGTTTTATAATTCAACAGTAGTACCTGGGACGGCCTTCCTTCATAAGTATTGCTCACGTATGATGTGTGTGGCCTTATTCTGGGCATAAAATGCAAAGGGGAAGAAACCCCCAGCCCTTAAGGACAGAGTCCCCTGAGGGAACAGACACATCTCGCACAGGCGGCACCCAGCGCAGCGTCCTGCCGTGGCTGGTTGTGGCCGTGGAACCCAGAGAGAGACCTCCTTGAAGAGGCTTCCAGAAGTACGGAAGGGTGGGCACGGCAGTGCTTTCTCTGCAGATAGAAACTGCACAGCACATTGAAGAAGTTATCGGGCTGTGAGCTGCAGAGTGGCTGTGGGGCCAGTGAAACCCTACTGAGGTGCCATTGTGCCAGGGGTCCCCACTCGTGCCTGTGATATCTGCCTCCCCCAGAAGCCTTCGCTCAGTGCTTTAAACCTGCCAAACTCTTATCACCTTCATGGCCTTCTCAAATGCCTTTCCCGCAGCTTAGAACACTGTTCCCTCCACTCTTCTTCCAATTCGGCCTTATTTTCCCCCAGGTCAGAGGGCATCCCCTGGGACGCAGCTCCTCTTGTCCTCCTGTCTCAGCACATCGCGATTGCGATGGCATATGTAGTGTCAGCTTGCGTCCTAGCAGCTGTCGCTACTAGATTATTAGACTAGGGTGTGAACATGACCGTCTGGCTCACCCTGGAATCCTCAGTGCCAGTGTTGGGTGCACAGTTAGCACCCATTAAATATGGCTGAGAGACCGAGTCCCTGAAGGAATAAATGGCCCCACCTTTGGACCTCAGGTCTGTTCTAATCCCTGATCCTGCAGTGGTTAGCTTCTTCCTAACCTCGTCTTGCCTCCAATCATCGATTATCTGGATCCCCACGCTATGCCTTAGGGTATCTTTCTGCCACCTTGCACAAGCCATGTTTGCTAACCCAGCTACCACACAAGCCTGCTGGGCTGTGTTTTCCATCGAGCCCTGGTATCAGCCAGCTCTGCTCTGCCGAGCCTCTTCCCCCAGGGTTCCAGCTTCGTCCCTTAGCGACCTCACTTTCAGGCCAGCCCCCGCCCCGGGGCTGGGTCATACTGGAGGATCCAGTGAGGGAGGGTTCCCCAGAGCTGGGGCAAAGAAGAAGCGGATGACAAGCCACAGAGAACTTCTCCAAGTGCCAGAATCCTGACCAACCTGAAGGAAATCACATGCACTCAAATATTTACATTTAGACAGAAAAGATCTCAAGGTCATATGACGTCATTTCACTGAAGCAGTTCCAGAGATGATAAAATAAGAGGGAGGCTGGCTTTTCCCCGCAGACATTGGGGAACTTGACGTCTGCAATGGGAGAAGACGGGAAGGGACAGGAAAGGTGCAATCGCAGACATCGGACTCTGCCGATGTAAGGTGACTTCAGAGACGTTTTCCCCTGGGTTGTGTCCTCTCCTTAGCAAACGCAGAGACCATGGATCGCTGCTAAATATAGCCAAGAGGAAAGTACATAGAATTACTCAATAGGAATGCAGGAAGCTGCTTTGCCGCTGATTACCGTTTGGCCTGGCTTGATTTCACAATCAAATGAAGAACCTTTTTCGCTTCCAAGAGTCCTGTGTCGACGATCGGTGCTGGCAGTGCAGAGCGAGAAGCATCGAGCTCGCCCCTCACTTGGTGTTACACAGCAGCCCGACATTCGCTTCCTCCCTGTGGGTCCTTCTGGTAAAAAGAAGACAAAGCCAGTGTGTACCATAAGCCATTTCAAAGGAAAACCATGGACCCAGGGCCAGTCACTGACTTGGCTTGAGAAGCAAGGAAAGACCATAGTGACAGTTCTCTGTTTGCCCTTTCATGTGCTGAATGTCTTCCCTTGTGTGGAGTTCATTTCTGACTAGTACATCAGAGAGACCTGGGTTCAAACCCTGGCTCTGCCACCCACTAGCTAGCTGTGTGACTTTGAACAAGTGACTTAACTTTTCTGTGCTTCGGTTTCTCATCTGTAAAATGGAGATGATAATAGAAGTGTTCTCGAAGGTAGTGAGAGAATTAAATAAATAATTCGTTCAGCATCCATCAGTTATTAATTGAACACCTACTATGTTCCAGACACTATTTCTAGGTGCTGACATTATACCAGTGAAGAAAATGGGCAATGATCTTTATCCTTATGGACAAGTATGGCTAGATTAACAATAAGCAGTAAACCTAACAAGTAAGTAAGTCATATAGTATGCCAGAAGGTGATACATGATACAGGAAAGAGTGTGAAGCAGGTGAGGAAGAGGAAAGATGGCCCCATACTCTTTACCACTCCTCCCACAGGGAGGTGAGATCTAATCCCATCTCCTCATATCAGGGCTTCTATTAGTGACTTGCTTGACCAAGAGAAAGAGGCAGAGTGATGTTCTGGTAATTCCAAGGCAAGATCACACTTACATTTTTCTTCTGTATTTTCTGGAACATTCTTTCCAGGAGCCACATGCCCCATATAAGAAACCTGACTCCCTGAGGCTGCCATGTTGGAGAGGCCATGTGTGGTTCGCCAGTTGACTGTCCAGCAGAGCCCAGCCTTCCGGCCATCCCTGCCAAGGCACCAGATGTGTGATGAAGCCATCTCAGACCCTCCGTACCAGCCCATCCAGCAGCCGCATAGAGCCACATGACCTGCATTGATGGATGCAGTACAAAAAAAAATCACCAGCTGAGCCTGGTCTCAATTCCTGACCCACAAAATCATGAGATATAATAAAATGATTGATGTTTTCAGCCAATAAGTTTTGGGATGGTTTGTTACACAGCAATAGATAACCAGAACAGGATGTTAGGGGAGTTTGGATATAATGCATATAAAATCTCTAGGCTCACTGCCAAATGGCATCAGATATATCTAGTCCCATTAGTATTTTTCACCAGCCTTCCCTCCTTTCAGCAGGAACTATTTCAAAGCCAGGGCTTTCTCTTAGTCACCATTCAGATGACATCTGTGCTTTCACAAATGGGGAGCAGATTCTGTTTCTTCCCATGGAGATGATGTCCCAAGGAACATGCAGGTGTAGAGAGGCTCAGACTTCAGAACTCAAGGGATGGCAAGATGAGGGAAGGGCTCCACACGTCCCTATGGGCAGACGTGACTTCTGCACTTGAACTTCACCCCTCCCCACACACACACCTTTCCACACCTTAAAATTTGGCAGACTGCTCTTTGAAAGGCAGAGAAGCTTTCCTGGCCAACATAATCTTGTTATCACTCTTAGGAAAACAATGACAATTGTGTCTCCTTAATCTACACAAAGTTCTGAAAGAACTTCAAGGGAAGAAGAGTCACACGTATTTTCACGTTCCTTATGCTCCATTTTGCCCAGTTCCAATGTTAAGAAAGGAAAGCAACATTCCGATAGAGAATGGCTGCAGCTTTTATACCTGCAATTTCTGGAATTTTCTTGGAGGAAACTGAGAGAATAATATCATATTGATTAGGTATTTATTCCACAGGAAGCAGAATCTTAGTCAATGATGCATGGGGTTAAAAAGAGAGAGAAAAAAACACACCCTAAAAGATAAACGAACTCAGGTAGGCATCCTAATAAGAAGTTAAGGGTCATAGGATGGCAAGAGTTATTTGGAGATATGAATAGGATGTAAATGAAGAAAAGAGTTAAAAGATGCCACTGAAAATATTAAGTACTGGGCAGAAAAAAATGGGCAAAGAAATCACAGGCTATGTAGTTGACTGATGATTAGTTAAATGTTTTGCAATGTCATTTTGGTAAAGAGTTTTGTCCTCTGTAGCAGATCAAGTGGTTATTATCATATCAGTCCCTATACCAAATAACTTGAATGGGAGTGTCCAAATAACTTGAATGGCATATCCTGTCATCTACTAACAGCTATTCCAATTGTAGGCATAGAACCTGAGAGAACATCTTTCACTTCTGGGGGCATATACCCTGCATATTCAACCCAGCCTGAGAGATTGTAGTCATCACTGTAAGAGTAATTGAAATAAACTCATGTTTATTGAACACCTACAATGTCCTAGAAAGATGCTTTAAAACTATGGGGAAACACAGTCTCTACCCTCAAAGAAGCTTAGTTAAAAAGTAGTAAATATGTAAGGAAAAATGGTAAATATTATATGTCATTGGAGTCTACAGAAAGGATATGTTCATAGCAAGCAGGAGGATCCCTGGTTTGCCATGATAGGAAAGAGAAGAAGGAACCACCAAGCCAAGTGGAAACCCAAATAGTTCTTGACCTTCGGTCTCCTCTGCTGGCTTCTTATCTCAAGTTTGGGGATGGAAGAAGAAAGAGGGTGGGGAATCAACTGCAGTTGAGTGCCTAGGATGTGCTGGGGGTGTGAGAGTTATACTTTACTTTTTACCACTACCCTACAAGGAAGTGCTACTGTCAAAAAATTGAGGATCCCGAGAGCTTAAGTACTCAGCCAGGGTTTCCTGAGCTTACATACTAATGCAGGTCTGAAAGAGTTGAAGATTCATGCCCTTTGCCCTCTGACCAATCACACTGCTTTAATAAACTGAACCTGTCCCCTGATTCCACAAATATTGGGATCTTTGAGAGTTGCATGCAAGTTGGTGCTTTGCCAACCATGGGTCAGTTGTCCCTCAAAGATCTTTCCTGTGTGGGGAGAGGACATTCCCTTTCTCAAAGAGATCATGAGTTAGAGGTGACTCTGAAACTGGGCCCATAAAAGTACACCTGAGTGGTTCATGTCACCAGCAGCTTTCTGCAGCCACATGGTTATATGTATCAGGAGACACAGTGGCCTCTGGAGGAACTTCTTTACATTGACAATTTCTGATCCAACCAGTGAGTTTGATCCAGCAGCTTTGTGGTGGCAGCCAGCAAGTACTTCCAAGGTGATTTGGATGCAGGGAGGCCAATGGACCACCTATCAGAAGTTCTGTTCTGGATGCTCCAGACGTAGGATGAGAACATCCTTTTCCCACAACCTCAGCCTCTGCCTTCCTGTGCATCATGCGCACCATCTCACTGGGACAGGGGAACTGCCACTTACAGGTGCCTTTCATCACATTTTACTTTATGACATTCAGAGTCCCTTCAGGAGAAGAGAAGCCACCCTGGACATTTCAGAGGGAATTCATTAGAGAAGACTGATTGCACAGGTGATGGAACAGCTGAGAAGCCACATAAAGATTAGTGATAGCTAGAGGCCACTCCACCCGCAGGGCTGGAAGGACAAAGAGAGAAAACGGGGTTACTGGAGCTGCAGAGGTTAAAGCCGCAGCTGGCATGAACAGGGGGTGTGTGGCTATGGAAGGAGGAGCTGTCCAGCATCAGTTACCGCCAGGGAGGAAATGCTACCCAGGACAGGGATGGGAAATCAGACGCTTTTCATGCTGCCGCTGAGGGGCTACAGTGGAATTCTGAAGACCCAGTCATACCAGCGCTCAGAGAGAACCTTTCTCAATGGTTCTCAAGCACAGATAAGCCTCAGAGTCAGCTGGATCCCAAGCTTAGAGATTTTTGTGCAATAAGTCGGCGACCAGGACTGGGCAGGGGTATTTTGAACTGACTGTCATGTGCAGATGATTGAGAAGTGATGTACCAGAGCATCAGCTCCAAAACAGCAGGGATGCATCCTCAGTAACACCACAGTGTCTGGACCAAGAGAAATGTGTAGACTGTCAATATCCATGTGTTGAATGAATGAATGAGCAAATGAAAGCATGAACGGTGGTGGCCCAGAGCCCTTGCTGACTCAGGTAGACCAGATGGATGCCACTCCAGGGCAGGGGGGAAATGAGGAGGGTCAGGGGTCAGAAATAAGGCAGTGCTAAAAAGGTGAATATGGGTACCCAGGCTAATCTCAAGCAAAACATCTTGTAACCTGAGATGAATCAAATGCCAAGAAACAGGCAAATTCCCAAGAGCTGACACAAGTAACCAAATCCAGAAGATGAGAAGTCAGTTGTAGATCCACTTTGTCTATGTAGAGTTGCCACCTCCTAGGTTCATAGAGACACCAGCCATGAGCCAGACTCTGACTCTACTGTGGTTTTATTTCGGCCCTTTCACTAACAAGCAGGAGGCTCCTTCTGCATTACCCCCAACATCTCAGTAGTGTTTATGGTAGTCCCAGGTTCAAAGCACTCCCCATGACTGTCCAGCTAATCAGGGACACCGTTGGAGTTGCACCTGCACCTTGAGTTGGGGGAAATGGCAGATAACTGTGCCCCACCTGGATACAGAATCTTGAGTTAGCCACACACGAGTGCCCTTTGCCTCCCAATTTTCTGTTCCTTATGCCCACTACTTCCCTTTATGTCCTTTCCATTTCTCCCTCTGACCTCTTCCCTCTCCTTCCTTTCCCTCTCCCTTCCCACTTCTTCATGCCCTGGGACCTCACCTCCACTTTGAGCAAAACCTTCCTAAATCTACATTTCTATTTTCTCCAGAATGAAATAGGACTAAGTGTGGACACATCCTTGAACACCTCATCAGGGAGGAAGGATGATGCACAGCTTTATAGAAGAAAGGAGAGTGGGTTGCCTTGATTACTTTCCTGAGAAACTTTAGAACCTGGGACATTTCAAGTTGATATGAAAGAGCTACAGACAAGATCCCTGGAAACTATTTAATCCAATCTGGGCTTTTAACCAGCTCCTCCATCCCCATCTCTGGAAGCTCCTATCGGAGAACTCTGGCCTTTTCTCTGCATTGCAGGTACGAAGGCTGCCATGTCTCCCAAGCCCAAGGGGGATGCAGGGGACAGTGCCACTGTTTGCCCCACAGCCTTCAAGATGCCAGAATTGGCCACAGTGGCTCTTGCTGTGATAACCTACATTCAGTAACAATTCCCAAGCCTGGTTGCTCTTCAAAATAACCCAAGGAGCATATAAAAAACACCGAGATGTTAGGACCCACCCCAGACACACTGAATTTGACTCTCCAGGGCAGGGTCCAGACAGCAAGTCTAGTCCCTTCCCACTAATCTCCGAGAACCAACACCCTGAAGGAACTTTGCATCTAGAATGCCAGGACATTTAAACCTAACTCCTACAGATGTCTCTGGCCAATGCTTTTCAAATCCATTTCACATGGTTTACATACCAGTCATTGTGTACATTTTTAGGCCTACTATGTGCATTTTGAGATAAGCAAAAAAGAAAAGAAAAGAAAAGAAAAGAAAGCCCACTATGGCAAAGTTTCAACCCCTCCCTGCCTTATGGGAGCATAACCCTAACCCTGGGGTTCTGCTGTCCTTAGGCAGCATGGTGAAATTTCATGACTTCTATCCCTTTCCTTATTGACCCCAACGGGTTCTCTAACCTGGTTTTAGATGAACAAGAATGCTGTGGAGAGAGCGTCATGTGATTCTCTCTCACCCAAGAGGGATGGCCGGCACAGTGTATGGCCATTGTTGGGACCAGAGCCTTCTCTCCAGCTCTATCAGAGAGGATGGGGGAATGTGCTGGAACTAAGGGCCTCCTCTTCCCATGTGCACCCCAAGAACAGTGCAGCCCACTTCCTCTGGCCAAGGGAAGCACAAACACAGAGCAGATGTGTGGGAGAAGTAAGTGTCATTCACACCTCCTTTGGCGCACAATTTTCGCCCTTGTTAAACCACCTTAACTCAGTGGCTCTGGAACTTTTTATTTTAGCAGCAGAATCATGTTTTGAAATCTCTTAGTTAGGAATTGCATACCTCAAATAGATAACAAGGAACTTCTGTGGGTGATTCCAGACATCTTTCTAGTGGCTCCTCTGCCCCACAGACACAGCAGCTCTTGTGCCCTTGCACAGAACTCCAGGCTTCCGTGAATCCCGGCTCAAACCATGGTCCTAGCGTTTGGCATTCTCCTCTCACTCAGCGATTTTTGCGAGGCGCAGGGATGTGTCTGGAGATATCATGGTCCCGTATAAGGAAGGATCATGCTGTTTGCCAACCTGTGGTTACTAAGAGGATACCAAACAAACTGTGTCACCTCTTTTAGTTTGGGCTCCCCCAAAGTACGGACTTTTGTGATAAGAACTTGGGCACAGGTAATTTCTTTAGGAGGATAATCGTAAAAAAGTGAGGGAGCAGAGCAAGTGAGTGAGACAGGGAAGGACAGGCCAGTGAAAGGGTGCTTTCCCGAGGTCCCTGCCAATCCACTGGGAATCATACACAGCACCCCCGGATTCTTTTTTTTGAGGGAGGGGCGGTTGGGCTTTTTTTGCTTGGTTTTGCCTTCTTTGGAGGGGGTTTTTTTTGGGGGTTTTGTTCCCCCCCGGGTTGCTTTTGCCCCCCCCGGCCCCCCCCTTCCCCCTTTTGGGGGTTGCCTTTTCCCCGGGTTGGTTGGTTGGCTTTTTTCTTCGTTGTTGGCCAAATTCGGCCTTGGGCTTTATGGACCCATCAGTGTCCTTGGGGAGGCCACGGGGCACTTTTTCAATGATTAGATGTCTCCTTAAAATCATATACTTTCTTATCAGAAACCACACTGAGAATGGAGGTGAGACTCTTCTGGCACTTTCTTCATGCAGAAACATTCATCCCCCGTGGAGATATTTTTGGAATTCGAGGAAAAAGTCCCCAAATTCACACTTGCTCTCTGTGCACAGCAGCGCTGAGATTCCCCTCTGGCTCCTCCAGGCCTAAGGACACGGACTGGAGTGTCCAGGCTGACCCCGCCCACCTGGACTGCAGCAACTGCTCCCTTCATGATGCATCTGCAGGATGCATTTTGGGCCCCGGCTGTCCTCAGCCGCAGCGAGTGGTCCAGCCTGCGCACACCCCAGCCATCAAGCCGGGCTGCGCATTGTCTTGAGCTCAGAGAAGTATAGCCAATCTAAGGCAAGTATGGCTTTTTCAGCTAGAATCCTCAGACCCACTTCCCATAAATCCTCCCACTTTGTTCAGAGAAAGTATAACCCTTTTCCCATTAACACTGCCCTCAAGTGAGATTTAACTTTCCAAGCTGGTATGCACTGGGACTTAGCGAACGCACCCAGAGGGAAATGTTCACATGGGTAATGGTAGGTTAAACCAACAGAATACAAAACTGTGTGTGCAGCGTGACACAAATTCTGCAGGAAAGAGAGAGAGAGAGAGAGAGAAAGGGAGATTGAGAAACACTAGAGAAATAAATCACAAGATGTCATTGATCAAGGGTCCATGCTTGACTTAGGCCAGTGCTTCTCAAAGTGTGACCCCAGGACCAGCATCATCAGCATCACCTCGGAAGTTATTAGAAATGCAAATTCTCAGTCTCCATCTCTGCCTAGACTTACCGAATCCGAAGTTCTGGGGGTGGAGCCCAGCAATCCAGGAGATTCTCATGCATGTTAAAATTTGAGGACCTCTGACTTAGGCTAATTAATCAGGTACACACTGCTCACTGTGCTAGGAGTGGGGAGAAGACAGAGATGCCGTCCTCCAGGAGTTTGTGATGTGGGAGGGAGAGTAAAGCAAATGCTTGCAGCAATGAAATACCAAGGAGAACAGCCACATGGGCAACCCAGGCAGAAGGAAGGGGTTGCAGGAAGGTGGGTTCTAGGAGCATCCAAGGCAAAGAAAAAACAACAAAAAAGGGAGCAACAAAAGAGAAAAAGAAAGGAGATCAAAGGATGGAAAATCAAGGCAAAAGGGAAAGAAAGGGAAGAAAGACATTCTGGTTGGGCCAGGAACCTAACCCCTTAAAGTTCTTAGCAGTTCACCCAGTTATTTATCTGCTAGTTGGGCCTGCTCCCTATTTGCCCAGAAGTGTGGGCGGGTGCAAACTTGCATGGCTGATTTAGCAGGTGAGGGCCCGTGGTAGCAAGCTGGAACCTCCTTCTCGTCTTTGAAGTCTCCAGGCAAATGGAAAATTGGAAACCCCAACATTTCTTTTTCTCTTTTTTATTTCAGCATATTTTTGGTGTACAAATGTTTAGGTTATGTATATTTCCCTTGCCCCACCCGAGTCAGAGCTTCAAGCATGTCCATCCCCCAGGTGGTGCACACTGCACTCATGTTTTTCCCCTCCCCTCCTACCCCCTCCCATCTGCCCGACACCCAATGAATGTCGGGCACTTATGTGCACTTAAGTGTTGATCAGTTAAAACCAATTTGATGGTGAGTACATGTGGTGCTTGTTTTTCCACTCTTGAGATACTTGACTTAGTAGAATGTGTTCCAGCTTTCAAACTTTTCAAAAGAAGATAAACTAACGGCTAACAAACATATGGAAAATGTTCAAGATCTCTAATCATCAGGGAAATGCAAATCAAAACCACAATGAGATATCATTTATCTCCAGTGAGAATGGCCTTTATCAAAAAGTCCCAAAACAATAAATGTTGGCGTGGATGCGGAGAGATAGGAAAACTCCTACACTGCTGGTGAGACTGCAAACTAGTACAACCTCTGTGGAAAGCAATATGGAGATACCTTAAAGAGCCACAAGTAAGAACTTACATCTGATCCAGCAATCCCATTACTGGCATCTACCCAAAAGAACAAAAGACATTCTTATAAAAACAGACATCATGCACATCAATGTTTACAGCAACACAATTCCACAATTGCAGGAGGGAAAACAACCCAAATGCCATCAAATACATAGGTGGATTAATTAAATGTAAGGTATATGTATACCATGGAGTCCTATTCAGTCCAAAAAAAACAATGGTAATATACACCTCTTGCTATTATCCTGGAAACCACACACATTCCGTTCACGGCCCTGTGGAGTAACAGGTAGCAAACAGTGCTTCTCAAACCCCTATGCATCAGCAAGCAACAGAACGTGATTGCCCAGCGATACTTGACTGCTAATGAATAGCAAGCTTGAGTTAGACAGGCAGGTTTTCCTATTCAGTGCAACAACTAAGAATGTATGGCCCTTCTTCCCCCACCCTTACCAATGGCACCGTTTTAATTGATGCTCATATATGCCATTCAGTTTTTAATCCCTCTACCAGGTTGCTCTCTGTACTCCCCCACTGTTTGGAGCACATTAGTTTACCATGCGAAATCCATGCAAGCCCTAATGGGGTTAGGTGTAGTATTGACTGCGCAGAAAGATGAGTTTTGCACAGTGTTGAATTTATAGTATATTATAGTACTTAATAATACACCACACAAATGATATAGTACATGTATTCTAATATGTATATATAAGTATCAGTACATCACATGCCCACATATTTATATTATGATTATACAAAAAGTATAGTATATCTATGGTATAAATGTAAAGTTCCAATACTTTAGGAAAAATGCTGGACTAACTTAAGGAACTTCCAAAGGGAAAGAGATTCCCACACAGCTTGCAAGTTAAAGTGCTAGGGAGTACGGGGCCGCGGTGGCTCACGGCCTGTAATTCCTTAGCACTCTGGGAGGCTAGGCGGGCGGATTGCCTCAAGTCATGGAGGTTCGGAAACCGCGCTGGAGCAAAAGGATGCCAAGAATCCAATCTCTACTAGTAAATAGAAAGAAATTAATTGGGCACTAAAGGTATATATAGAAAGTTTACCCAGGGCATTGGTGGCGCAATGCCTTGCTGAGGTCCCACGCGGCTACTCGGGGAGGCTGGAGGCAGGGAGGGATTGTGAGGGCCCAGGGAGTTTGGAGGTTGCTGTGAGCTGGGCTGACGCCACGGCACTCACTCGTGGGCCTGGTCAACAAGCGAGACTCTGTCTCAAAAAAAAAAAAAGAAATGCTAGGAGTTGTGGACCAGGCCCTGTACACTACCTGGGCTACACGTTATAAGTTGGCATATAAGAGGGAATATTGGGTAAGGGACCAGCAGGCTAGAATGAGAAGAATTCTGTCTTGGCGGTTTTGGGAGAGGCGAGATTCCTGCCTTGGGACATCTCTAAGTCTGCACGTTATTGCCTGGGTGACCCAGAACAAGTGTATTTCATGTAATAAGGCTATTCCCTCATCAATGACAGAATTGAAACAAAGGTGGTTCCTGAAGCTCCTTTCTGTATGCACATCCTAACCTGAGAGTCGTAACCATGCTTAATCAATGTTCTCATCTATTTATGAAGACTAAATCTCATGATGGTGAGGATGAATTATTCATCCATGCATTCATTTATTCATCCAGCAGTATTTAATAAGTATCCATGTTCAGCGCAGCTCTAACACTAGTTGAATTTGCAGAAAGCTTGAAGTGTTGGAGACTTCTGTTGAATTAAGATTTTTAGATTAAGGCGGTCTCCTAGCAGGAACATAGTGGAAACATGACTTATTTCTCACTGGTCAGCTTTCTTATCTCTTAGCCAGGAAATGCAAACACAGACCTGACCCCACAGGACAGTTCTATGATTCCATCAACTGGGCCCAGATGATCAATTTTTGTATCATTTTAATGAACCATCGAGGCAGTGGAATTTATCTTCCTAAACTATATAATTTTCCCTTCTCAACGTCAAATGTCCTTGCTTAAGAGACAATCAGAGGTCCTGGCCTGTTTATCCAAAACTCCAGGATTAAAAGATACTGGAGTAATAACTCTCTAGTTTTCATGGTTCCTGATCTATCTTCACTTCAAGATCAAAAATGAAAACTGAGGCCAAAATTCAGGATTCAAAAGTGTTATTTCCTGGCAGTAAAAATTCGTACTTTTTCCAAGCAGGACATCCCAGGGTTTTCTTTCTTGGGATGGTTTATGAGTGGGGGTCTCTGGAGACCCAAGAAGTTTAAACAAGAGCCTCTGTAGGCCGGTGTGTGGCTCATGCCTATAATCCTAGCATCTAGGAGGCCAAAGCAAGAGAATCACTTGAGCTCTGGGGGTTCGAGACCAGTCCTAAGCAAGAGCAAGACCTCATCTGCTACAAAAAAATAGAAAATTTGTCTGGGTAGTGGGCACATACTTGCTACTTCCAGCCTGCCCTCAGGAGGGCTGAGCAGAAGGATGGCCCTCAAGGTTAAGAGTTTTGAGGTTGCATGAGCTGTGATCACTATACTCTTCAGCCTGGGGGTGACAGAGTAAAACTCTGTCTCCAAAAAAAAAAAAAACAGCCGTCTGGTAAAACACAGTTGGTAAAAAAACCAACGACATCAGCCTGCCTTGCTCTCTCATTTGCTAGTTGATAGCTGATGGAAGGCATAGCAAGAGTAGCCTCTACTTATTAAGGGGCCTATTGATTAATTGTCAAGTGAGTATCTGTGATCAACCTGCTCAAACATCCTGCCAGACAGAAATTATTTTTCTCATATTTAGATGGAAAAAGTGTATGGCTTGAAAGAGATTGGAGGGTAGCACGTCCTTGTGTATTTTATTGAAACTAGGGATGAAAGCAGGGTCCATTGGATTTCAAGAAACAGGGTGGTGGTATACGGAAGTGTCAGTATATCAGAGGCCAAGTCATGCTCTGTAACAAACTCCCCAAAGTTCAGTATGATGTATAACACAGCGTTTTTCATTATTTTCGACTGAGGTTTTGGTGGACAGGCTGCGGCCTTTTTGGCTGGTCATCAGTCAGGGCCCACTCATGCCCAGCTGGTTGCTGTGGGTTGGGCGTACTTCTGGGCTTGGGCTCTGTGTCTTGCTCAGCTTGTCATAATGACCTTGGGGCTGCGAAATCAGGAAAGCCATTGCTCTTTTCACAATGTAATGGCTCCAACAAGCTGGCTCAGGCATGTCTCGTGGTTATTACAAAAGCCAGCAGAGAGCAAGCCCAAACATAGAAGCTTCTGCTGGTGGGGCTCCATACATCACATGCTAAAACATCCATTGGTCAAATCAAGCACACGCTGAGCCAAGCCATGTAACAGGAGCCATCCACTGTAAGTGGATCTTATCCCCTGGGTGGATCTCACAGTGTTTAACACCTTTCGAATCCTTAGAGGTGCAGGACAACATTGATGGTGAGACTTACGATTTTTAGAAGAATATTGAACATTATGCATTTGCAAACACCATGAAAAATAACCCCAAATTTAAGGGAAGGATGGAGAAATGAAATTTGGAGGTTAGCATGTAGATGAAAAAGGCTAAATAGGATCTAGCTTAAAAAGATTCCTGAAAAACAATATGTATTTTTTTATCTCTACTACGGGTAATTTCCTTCTGAGGACCAAATTTAGTCCAATAAGCGAGCCAATATCCAAATTTGAATCTGTACAAAGTCATATATTAGGTACAATTTCTAAATCTTGTCCAGTCACTGCAAATCAACTAATTTCAAAGCAATCTCTCAATTTCTGTAGTGAGGATCAAAATTCAAATTTTTCTAAGGGGAAGAAAAAAAATGGGTTAAAACCCAAAGCCTGAGTTATTTCTCTGGGGTTACTGGATTAAAACCAAAGTCCCAATTGCAGGGCCAGGTTGACTTTATGACACTTACATGCTTAAATGGTAACCGTGTTCTCCAACACACAAATGTGCTGAATGTTTTAAGTGTTTATAGACAAACATTTGGAAAGCTTGGCCACATTTTTCCATTTCTATCCGGGAAAAGAATGAACATAGGTCTGAGTTTGTCTCTCAGACTTCCTAAGAAGATGACCTTAGAAAAGGCAGCAAACCCAGCCACAATTACAAAGACTGGCCTTACAATCAGCCTGCCTAAAACGGCTTCTGTGCTAGGTCAATTCAGAGCATATGGAAAGGAAATTGATGTTTAAGGAATGAAGATGGACTTGAGGATTTGTTACACGCTCACTAAGTACTGGGCACTTTTAGATACACTAACATAACCTAGGATACCATTATCACTCACTTTTATCCTTAAGGAAAATAAAG